TATAAAATTACTATATCTTATTATACTTTTAGTAATCGATGTACTGGAAAATGGGCAACCAAAATCAGCACAAATCGGTTCTGCAAACGAACCTGAGCATACATCACCTGAAATTCATATGACTTGGACAGAAAGAGATGATAATCATGTCTATCAAGTACATGAAATTTCAGAAAAGTACATGTTGCTAAATCGGAAAGTATATGTAAAATCATAACTAATTGAGTGGAAAAAATCAGAGACAAAAATTTTTGATGATTGGATAAAGCAGCAGAACAGGTGATTTATTGTGCATTTTTCAATTTCAGAAAGTATATAAAACTACAATCATATGATCTAATGGGTATTTCGGATTTAAACTACCTATTATCCAATAGCATTTTGCAAAAATTCTGTAATAGAAAATATTTTTGTAGATGTGGTAAGTACATGAAATTTCATATTGTTACACTGTACAACTTTGCATATATGAAACCTGCAGATTTTGTATTATTTTTACTCCTTTTATTCATCATCTGCCAATAGATTGATCAAAAAATTTTTTACTACGAATTTTCCCATCTGCATGCTAATCAGTTCATGCAGACACATGATTCAGATTTTTTATTGCCAGCTAAAATTTTGATTTTGATCATATTGGAACACAAAAAGAAATCCGAAACCCATCTCAAAATAGACAGATACTTTTTAAAAAGAAATATTTCTTTAATTATGTGCCAAGACCCAAACCAAACTGAAAGTGAAGAGTTCAAATCTTTAATATGATTAACATAAAATTTAGACAATTATACTTCATTGATTAAACCAAAAATGTACTCATCTTTACATCATTATAATTAAGAAAAAAGATTATTTTGTAGCTAAATTTCAACAGAAAATAAAATATAAAAAGAAGTATCGAAAGATTATACAATATAAAGAACTAAATCAATATTCATTTAATATAAACCCTACTTTTACACAATAATATTCAAATACATTTCATTTACAAGAACCATTAAAGAACTAAAGATGACAAGAAAAAGCATAACAAGAAACAACAGTAGAGTTGATGCAACTGATATAAAGATTGAATAAAAATTATTATCGATAAGAATTTTCTTTGTTTATTACAAAGTCAAAGAGACAAAGAAAAATAATAAGAAGAGAAAGAAGAGAATTCTAATTCATATTTATTTAGTTACACAATTTGTATTAATATAAAAAGTTGTAATTCACTTTTTAGTTTAGTAATAATGTCATATCCAATTTTTATTTCAATGGTAAAGATTTTTACAGATGAAAATGAATGTATTAAATTTTTATTCAACAATAATATTTTATATAAATCTAAAGAATTAAAATATATAAAGCAAACTTGTCTAGAGATAAAAAAAGATTCATTTGTGTAAATAAAAAGTGCAGAAAATCAGTTTTGATATTCAAAGATTCCTTCTTTTCAAAAGGATATGTGAAATGCAATCTTATAATGATGATTGGTTATTTTTGGTTGTCTAAATGCAATTATTATATAATTGAAAAAATGACAGGCCATTTACTAAATACAATAATTGATTATATGAAATTCTATCGAGAATTAGTTATTGATACTTTAAAAGATTATGAAGACAAGATAGGTGGTAAAGGAATTATTGTTGAGATCGATGAATCTAAATTTGGAAGAAAAAAATATCATCGTGGTAGAGTTATTGATAGTGTATAGATTATTGGTGGTATTGAAAGAACAGAACAAAAACGATGTTTTCTGATAAAAGTACGAAAACGTGATGAAGAAACAATCAAAGATATCTTAGACAAATATGTTGAAAAAGGATCTATTGTTTATACAGATTGTTGGAAAGGTTATTTGAATATTGATGAACTAGGATTCAAACATAAAACAGTTAACTATTCAGAAAATTTTGTGGATCCCAAAACAGGTGCACATACGAATACCATAAAAGGATTGTGAAATGGCATCAAGTTACAGATTGCACCATGAAATCGAAATAAAGACTTAATTGAATCACACTTATTCGAATTTATTTGGCACAAAGTAAACAAAAACAGACTCTGGGAAGCATTTATCGAAGCACTACGTTCTACAGCATATTACCAATCTGACAATATAACATTGTGACAATTGCATGCATTAGTACACGCTAAACTATAGTTCAGCTGTTTTTATAATATAGTGTCACAAAAAGCAAAAAAGTATTTGGGTTAAAATATATTGCAAATATGAAAAACTACTCATTATATAGCACAAAGCCTTTATTATATATTTTTTTATTACTTATGCACTTCACAGCTATTAAAGATATTAAACTTATTATTTATCATATATACTTTTAATGTTCTATATTGCTTAAAGTTTCTATATATCATATATTTCTTTACTTATAGTTTTTTCTTAAAGTTCTTATTACTACTATTGCTCTTATATCTTTTAAATAACTTTTACAACTGATAATCTTGGAAAACCCATTTTAGATAGATGATTGATATAGCTATTAATTGTATTACTGCACCACTTCAATCATTCTTATTACATTCTCTTAAAATCACATTTTTACTGCTCACAATAGTAATGCTAATTTATTTAATTATTAAAGAATCAGTAGTAAAAATAGAGCATTATGCACTTATCAATGTGATGTGCTTAATTAGCATATATTTTAACTTAGATATTTATTAACATCTGTCATGATATTTATTTAATTAATAATATAACAATTAGTATCTTATACTAATAAGTGCATGATGCCTACCTTTAATCAGTAGTAATAAATACATTTTTTATATAAAAAAAAACTTGATCTTTAAAATGCTTAACAACATTCTTTGTACTTGTATCTAGTGCCTGCATATATCAAATAGCCAGAGTAAACTAGTTAGCAGAGCAACTTATGCAAGGCATTTAATAAAGCAAAAAAATATCTGGCCTGATCTAGCAAATATATTCATAATACAATAACACCTGGCTACTTTTATTCAAACTTTCTTGCTAGTTATTAGTATAGTGACAATGTTATCTATGTCTTTACCAGATGTTTTAACACTATTTGAACAAATCAAGATGATTATGAACATATTAGTGATGAACCCACTAGTATATATAGTCTTAATTTGGATAGTTCAAATAAACAAAATAGTATAATATTTAAAGAATTGTTTAATGAAAATAATAACTTATTTGAATCATTTGAAGTTCAAAAACTATTTGAATCATTGGAAGGTCAGAAAAAGCTACTTGAATCATTGAATATTTAAGAAGCAAATAAAGATGAAGATAATATTGAATTTGGTAGGCTTATAAGGCCATATAAAGTTAATTAATTGTTTCTTATAACCCAACTGGTTTGCTTTTTTAAATTTTCAGTACATGGTACTCAGGTGCAAAATGCTTATAAAATTTTTTATAATTAAAAATTAAAGTTGAATAATGGATTATTTATAGAATTCTATATTATAAGAAACAATTATTTAACTTTGTATAACCAAATCAAAATATAAATTTACAACAATTAAAATTTTATTTTAATTTAATTTAATTTTGCAGATATTTTAGAAAACTTAATTAAGAGTTTAAAACTTTATTAAATTAAAAACAAACATAATATTTCTGAGACTGCATTTAATGAAATTCTTGAAGCCTTAAAAATCCCTCAAATTACTCTTTACAAACTTGAAAAATGTCTTGAAAATCTTGTACTATTAAAACCAACATTTGTAGACTAATATATTAATTTATGTACAGCATTTACAGATAATCTTATTAATAAAAAATATATGTTCATGATGTAAAAAACCTTGTAACAAATCTGATATGACATCCAAGATGTCTTAAAAGAGAGTTGCATATTGGTCACTTATTGACTTACTTAAAATGCAATATAGTAATAAAACTCATGCAAAAATTCTGCACTATCAATACAATTATATATTATACCTAATTATACTCTTGGCAACCAAATTGGTAATATGTTTAATGGCTTTCAATAAAGATCTTTAGTTTTTTCAGAATTTTTTTTAGATAGTCAAAATGTTGCTTTAATAATAGGTACCAAATTTTTTGTCAAAAGTGAGATTATTGCTAAATTATACTGGTTATAAATACAAATTTACCACCAGATAGACATATTCAAAGAGAAAATTTAATAATTTCTACATTTATTCCATAACCAAAGGCACTAAAAGACTTTAATTTCTTTTTATAACTATTGGTTAACAAGTTAAAAAGTTGCAAGTAGAGCTTAGATCCAGTGAATATTTGATTATCCATTTTGCTATTCACTAGATAAATGCAATTTTCAGATATCTGCTATAAACTAACTAACTAAATCTATTGAATTAACATATAGTCAACTCTATACCCTTTTATATATAACAAAACCAACACACCATATAGTAAACTTTTATAGTGAATAACTAATGATAAAATGTTTTTAATAAGTTTATTATATTTCAATATATAGATTATAGTAAAAGCATTAAATAACAAAGTTTTATTATATGAATTATTATAAAAAAGCTAATACAAGTAGAATGTGTATATTTTATTGATATTGCTAATTAAAAATTCATATATAATATCATTATTTTTGAAAAATAAATGCTCTTAAACTATTTTAAGAAAACATTACACCAGTACAATTTATATTTCTTCTAAGAAATAGCATGCGTTTAAATAAATTAACATTTAAACAAGCTCACTTGGCAGTCATAATATTTCCTGCATTATTAAAGAGTTGTTTATTGGCTATAGATGTAGCTGAAATACATAAATATTTTTGAGCTATTTTGCTCAATATAGGAAAATTTAATTGCTGCCCATTTCACTATTTTAAAAAACAAAAAGTACTTAAAAATTTTGGCAATGCAACATAAGTTTGAATTTCATTATTAATGTCAGATTCTTGAATAGGTTCATATATAACAGCTAACAAGACATTTTCTTTCTCTTCAAGGTTATTCATTTGTACTGTATTTGTCAGTATTAATTCTTGCTTTTTAAATACTTAATGCTCAGCTACTAAATATGCTTTGGCCTCAAGTCTTTGAGAATAAGTTACAAATTTCATTTTTTTATTTCTAGGATCAAGGAGTGTTACAAGAAGAGCTTTATGAATTGGATATTTTCAATAATAATTTAAAGCATTAAATAATGTGATTTTTACATTTTCAACCATATTATTACAGACTTGTGGAATATTAATTTTAGTTTGATTGATTTTTGTTTTAAATTCAGTATTAAGTACTTCAGATTCATCAATGAGATCAATTTCTTCTTGAAATTCTTAATCATCATCAAAAACTGTATTAGAATTATTGAGATTTATATTAATTTGAGCATTATATATAATATTAACAATTTTTTAAGAGATGATATAGCAGAAAACATATATGACATTGTAGTATATTTGCTTTCACCAAGCATCTTTGTAGCATTAGTAAAAGGTTGTAAAATTTTAACTAAATTTTTTATTAATTGCCATTCCTCAGATGTTAGCATAATTTGTTTAAGATGCCTTGCATCTTTTTTAACTATAGAGTCTTTGCTGTGACTCATTGTTAATTGCATTACTTTGATTGCTGGTTTTAATTTTAAAATTCTTATCCATGCTATATACATAGAGTCCCATCTTGTTGCAACATCTATTATAACTTTAAGATATTCATGATTATTGTTAATATTATTGCACATTTCACAGTTTAAAGAAATTTGTACTATTTCAAGCTGTTCACTTTGTTTAGGAGATACAAAAAATTGTATTAACCATTTTGCTTATATAACAAAAACTTTAACTGATAATAGCCCTTTTCCTATGACTAGTTGTAAAGTGTGTGCACAACATGAAAGACGATCAACTTCTTCAATTTCCATAACAGCCTTTTTCATATTTTTGGCATTATCAGTTGCTATAATAAAACATTTCATATTTAAGTTCCAATCTTGGATAATAGATTTTAATAAAGAAGTGATTACATATTCAGTATGTAGATGTTTTATTTTACAAATAGCCAAAGTGATTTCTTGCAATTCAAAACAAAAATTGATCCATGAACATGTGATTCCAAGATACCTATTATTACTGAGTGAAATTCATAAGTTTATTGTTAACCCATAATAATTTATTAAATTCTTCAATATATCTTAAAGAGTGGCCAACATCCAATTATAAGACATACAAATTTGAGCTTTAATATCTTTTTTTTTTTTTTTGGTATTAAGGTGACCTCTTTGGTTCAAGCTTTTTATTAATACTTATAGCAGATACATGTTTTATATAGATGTATCTATAATGAACTATTAGATAAGCATACAACTGGCTACACATGTAACTTTTTTATATTACCTATTTAAGGAGTTTACCTGAGAGTTCTCTACCAGTTGCTGTACTTAACACCCCTGCTTAGGTGTTTTATTTAAACCCTCTAATCTAACCCTAGTATTAATTTCACCAGGTCACAGACCTGAATCTATTCACATTTGACTATAGAACTATAATCCTTAAACTATTTTT